TTTACCTGAGAAAGGCTGAGTATGACCTCGGTCGACCTCCTTATGTTCTAATCGGTGTTTACCCGAATTGGCTCATTCCTGGTCAGAATCCGATCTGACCCCTCTACATGGGTGCACTCGGTCAGAATCCGACTTGTGTGCTCCAACTCGGCCAAAATCCGATCTGACCCTCTCACATAGATACTGATCCAATATCAAGGATAAAATCTCATCTTTAATGACAAAATATTCTCTAGATTAGACGGTTGAAGAAATCCCTACATTCTCGGGGCCCAGGAGGCCCGTAAGCAAGAAACTATAAAGCCAAAAACCCTAGAGTTGAGAAGGCAGATTACACTCTTGAATGCTCTGGCTCTAAGGCACGATGTAGGAAAAAACCCTAGTCCACCCTTTGGCCGGAACATTTTGGCGCCCACCGTGGGGCTACGGTGAAACTTTTCCTACGCCCCAAGTCATACAGAGAGACCTACACTTTACCATGGCGAGAGGCGGCAACAACAACAACCACTCACAACCCCCTACCATGGAGGAGATGATGGCCATGATCAATGGCTTAAGGGAGGATAACGCGCAGTCCAGGGAGAGAGAGGAGGCCATTCAGCACGAGAACGAAGAGATCAGGAGGAGAGCGGACGAGCTGCAAGCCAGAATGGCGGCTAGTACCAAGACTATGGAGGAGGACGTCATGCTGGAGGTCCCTAGAGACTTTCGACCGTTCTCGGAAGCCATAGAGGCCGAGATGATCCCTAGGGATCATCGGATACCACAGGTCGAACCTTTCGATGGAATGCAGGACCCTAGTCAGCATTTGACGGACTTCTGGGCTCAAATGTTGATCTGTGGAGGGAGCATGGAAGTCCGCTGCAAGTTGTTCATGGGCACACTCAAGAAGGCGGCTCTCGACTGGTTTAGCGGTCTTTCGGATAGGTCGATCACCGACTTTGATGTCTTTAGCCGACTATTCATGGCGCAGTTCGCCGCTAACAAAAAGAAGCCGCCAATCACGTCGGATTTGTTCGACCTCAAACAACAACGCGAGGAGTCTCTGAAAGATTTCCTACAAAGGTTCAACGAGGTTGCCTTGAGGAAAGCGTCGCTGGACGAGAGGATGGCAGTCATCGCATTTCAGAAAGGTCTGAGGTCTGGAGCCTTCGACATTGCGCTCGAAAGGGCGAACTGTCAAACAATGTCGGAGGTGAGGGCTTTCACCTTGAGCCACATCAAGACAGAGGAGAACCAGATTATTAAAAGGGCAGCTGAGAACCGAGAAGCAGGGGGTAGAAATAAGGAGGGAAATAAGCATCTTCGACCGCGATCAGACTGGAGTAAACGACGTGACCGATACAACGTGAAGGAGGGCAATTACAGGCAGGCCGATCACGGCGGTCGGTCAAGGGGCGAGTGGACGCGCAGCAATGAAGAAGAGAAGTTTACTCCACTCACTGTTCCCAGGCGACAGATACTCCACGATGTCAACAGCGCATCGTTGTTCAAGTTTCCGGCGGCGACGGAGCGTCAGTTGGGGCCCTTCAAAACCGATTGGTGTGAGTTCCATAGGGCTCACGGGCACTCCACTAAAAATTGCTTCGTCTTAGGGAGGCAGATTGAGCGCTTGATCAAGGAGGGACGACTGAAGGAATTTGTGGCGAGAAAGCAAGAAGGAAGTTCATCGGATAGGCGATCCAGGCGCACGCAGGATGGCACCAGGAGGGATAGGCGTAGGGAGAGAACTCCCCCCAGAGACACACCAGCAAAGGTGTTAGAAACCCATCAGCAGCCCATCCACGGGGATTTCAATACCATAGCAGGGGGCTTTGCCGGCGGGGGACCTACCTCTGTTGCCCGAAAGAGGTACTCTCGGTCGGTACTAACAGTATCGGAATTCAGGTGACCACCTCAGCTTGAGATTTCGTTCTCAGACTCGGATTACGAAGGAGTAGCTCCTCATGAGGACGACCCCGTCGTCGTATCGGCGATTGTCATGGGGTACAATGTGAAGCGTGTGTTGGTCGACCAGGGAAGTTCTACGGATATTTTATTCTGGGAAACTTTTGAGGGGATGAAAATA